TCTGAGCCAGTTACGTTTCTTTCTGATTCGGTGAGTATAATTTTGTTTTTGTTAAGATATAAATTGTAGCTATTTGCACTAATTAATTTTTTTTGTTGCAGATATTATGGATCAAATGATTGCTTATATTTACACTGGAAAGATGTATGAAGGTGCTGAAGGTGTAACATTTGATGGACCAAGAAAAGGAATGTATATTAAACGAGGTATCACTTTGGATATATTAAAGAGAAGGATTCACAACAAATTTAGTCTTAACTCAAATCAAGTGATATTATCTGTAAGTTACAGATTTTTAGTTTCACAAGGTGATAACAACATATATTCTTCATTGGAATTGAGTGACGATGATGATGTACAATGCATGATAGAAGCATTTCAGAGCCAGAATGTGATGCCAATAATGGAATTATATGCTGAAATAGGTATGCAAGAATCTTCTACTTTTTCATTAGAAAATTTGTCAATTGAACGATCACCTTTGATCACAAGAGATGAAGATGAAGATGACGAAGAAGATGAAGACTATCATGTTTCATCATCATATGAAAGCATTGATGAATCCAATGAAGATGAAATTGATAATTGTGAACCATCTGATGATGAGGTGCAGCCGGATGTTCTTGTTAATAGTCCAATGGTTGAACCAATTTCAATGTATCCATCTACTGAAGGTAACATCCGAAAATTAAATTTGTCAACAATTTGTTATTTGTTTAAAATAAATTGTTGAAATTGATTTTATTGAAATTATTAACTATATTATTTTTTTAATTATTTTATTTTACATTATCATATACATTTTAATTACTATTTTATAAACTTATTTTTTCATTTATTTCTTTATTTAATATATTTTTTGCTTTTTTTTTTAATTTAAAATATGGGGCGCTATGGGCTATAGCGTCTTCATTTAAGCTGTTAGTGTCGCTATGGGCTGCAACAACTTCGTCAATATGGCTTTCATGGCTTCTCTGGAATCACAAAAATGCCACGTGCCCATAGCGACACCGTTATAAACAGCCCCAAAGACGTAAATACTTTCAAAAGAACCCCATTTACGTAAAAAACTTTCCAAACAACTCCACTTTGGTCAAAAAGCCATAATATCATGATTATACAAATATATGAATATGTCTAAAAATACTAATCTTAAGTTGCTAGTCAAACAACTCAATTACCCCAACTACACCAGAGTAGCTCAAAAAGACACAACTCTGCTATCAACCAACATGGCCTCAAAAGCAAACCTTGCCTGCAGTCTATCTCTTCCTTAGTCCCATGTAAACATAATTATCGCAATCCAATTAGAAAGAAACATGTAAGGATAAGTTAATATATAAGAGAATAAACATATAAGTATAGAGGTAAAATGACTATACTACCAACACCAACATGCAAATCATACACCCACAACATCATGGTTTACAACATAACAACATAAGTTTAGCACCTCAACATGACATTCAACAATCTTAAAAGGTAAGAAACTCAATCATATCACAACATATTACAACTTTTATCACAACAATGTCATTCAACAACAATCCACATAGCATATGAACAACATCACACTCAAAACATCATATGTATATCACCTCAATTACAGCATCATCATACATTCACCTATTAAAATCTCCAACAACAAAGATGAATAATCTAAGTGACTTAATCTTATCGAACCAACACGTTTACATTTGCTAGATCAACAACCAATTTGGATACTAATCCATAACAACATAGTTTATCAAATTTCTCCACTTAAACTAAGAAGTCTAATATTCCTGTCAAGATAGGACAACTTATGTGTGAGTCTACCATAACATTAGCTTGCATGACTAAGCCTTCTATATGATTAGCTCGTCGACTAACCATTAACTACTACACCCTTCCAATACTTCGTTAAGTATTTTGGCCCCTGACCTTATACCTTACTCAGTTGGTTACTTTATACACATATGTCTCAACCTTATCCATATATGGATCAACATTAGTCACTTGTAATCAGTATAGCTCGATATGGCCTCTATATTGTGGTCACTTATAGCCAATATGTTTTGACCTTGCCCACATAGCACATCAACTAAAGTCCTAAAGGAGACTCAACTATCAATTTTAAAAGTTAACTACTCAAGAAGGGATTTTAACAACTAGACTCGTGGAGCACCATAATAATATCTTCATAATGGGATATCCAACTTTCTAAAACAGTTTCTCCTCTAGTCCTAAGTCAATCAACACCGCAACATACCCTGATGGCTTAATGCCTCAAGAGTTATCAACACCATCACCTTAACAGTTCAACATGTTAATTATTTGTATATACAATCCTATATCAATGCATATAGAACCAACTCCATTCAACAACATTCAATTATCAACAATTTAATTATCAATATATATTATCCCAAAATTAACATAAAGAGCTAACAACATATATTCATATACAACATGTAATAAATTCAACTAACCTATACATGTTCACTATTTTATCAACAAAACATGTTTTCATAAGGCAACCCACGCCCAACATCTAGCATCATTGAAACAAAGAGCTCTTAGGTTCATCTACGCCCAATGCTCAACGCCACTCAACCTGCCACTCACCCTCTTATTTATTTGCATTTATTTATTTTTTCTCCTCTCTTTTATATATATCTTATTTCTTAAATATCTTTTATTTATTTCTTATCTATTTTACTTCAATCAAATAACTGAATTTTTATTATATTTTTTTTAAATCTATTTTTACTTTTTTTTTTCAATTCTATTCTATAGTCATTCATATCAGGAAGCTAAAGCTAGCTGGTTGAAACTTTGTTTTTATATTTTATATTTTTAAATAAAGATATAGAATCGAAGGATTCAAGTGGGAGCAAGTAGGAATAGAAAGTCTCTTCCCACTGGACACGATATGACCGTAGAAAAACTTGAGTGGGCGTGATTTGGTGGCCAAATGAAAACCAAAATAGAACACGATTGCAACAATCAACCCAAAACTGTGGGGCCTCTCTAGTAGACAAATTCAACTAGATATTGTCTACACAATTTCTGTAAATTTAAACTAATTGATTATTTGCACATAATTGTTTTATACAATTATATAATTTTTAATGCCAAACAATGATTTTACAATATACTAATTGATAGTTATATATATATTTTTAGTTTGCATCAAGAACTCTCTTAACAAAAGTTGGAGACTAATTCTTTCAAGGTTAAGATTACCAAAATAAGTATTATATTTTTAGCAAAATATTTTTCATTCACACAGTTTAAAATAATCGAATCTTAATCGGTATGGTTAAAAAATTAACTTATCTATATTTGCTGAACCTATGTAGCATATGTAAAACATGAGAGTGATTATTGTTATCCTGATACCTTTATTATTACTACTATTAAATTAAGTTTCTAAAATTTATGTAATACAAGCATTCTAACGATAAACATGACTCTCCGAGTTTACGAAAATAGATACTCTCTTTGGGCTATTTATAAGTTAATTTTTTCATTAAAATATAAATAAATTTTATTGAAGTTAATTTTATTTAATATTTTTAATCTAAAAATTATATAATAATAAATAAGAATACTATTTATCATGAATATGATTAAAAATATTTTAATAAATATAATGTATATTTTATGTAAAGTTTTAGGAAATGTAATTAATGAACTTTTCTAATATATATAGAATTTGTTTTATTTACTTATATATACAATTTCATAGGGATAAGCGTTTAGCGAGGTTAGGGAACCACGCCCATTAAGTTTGTTGGATTTGGATCTTCACTTGGTAAGCCTCCTTGTGACTGTGGGTCGACTTATCTTGACTTTACGGTACAGTTCTTGGCCGAGGAGAGTGCTCGGGGAGAGGCCCGTGTCGCAAGTGTACTGAACGTTCGTGCGTAGTACTCGGCCTAGGTGCATCCTTAGCCAAGGAGGGTACTCGAGAGGGAAACCTGTTAGGCGAGAGTATACGTTTGAGAGGTCGGCCGAGGGTTGCTCGGCATCGGCGCGTAATTGCGTAATGCTCGGCCAAGGTACATCCTTATCCGAGGAGGGTACTCGGGGGGGACCTGTTAGGCTCGAGTGTGTTTGAGAGGTCGGTTGAGGGTTGCTCGACGTCGGCGCGTAAGTGCGTAGTACTCGGCCTAGGTACATCCTTAACTGAGGAGGGTACTCGGGAGGGAAACCTGTTAGGCTCGAGTGCACGTTTGAGAGGTCGGCTGAGGGTTGCTCGGCATCGGCGCGTAAGTGCGTAGTACTCGGCCTAGGTACATCCTTAACTGAGGAGGGTACTCGGGAGGGAAACCTGTTAGGCTCGAGTGTATGTTTGAGAGGTCGGCCGAGGGTTGCTCGGCTTCGGCCTGCGTTATCCGAGTTTGGACCTGCATGATCGCGACCTTAACGTATACATATAGTTAAATAAGGAAGGAGAATATGCAAAAATGTCTTTCTATTAACAAAGTGCCTCGTTAAAAACCTTGCCGACCCAAAACCCTCCTTAGGGAAAAAAGAGTCGGTCAAGGAAAAGAGTGCACTATTACATCAACTATAATACACTTTTAAATGCGAGGAGTTCTAGGTTCTCGGAATTGGTTCTCCTGATAGGTACTCTAGCTTGTATGCTCCGTTGTTTAGGTTGTGCCGTATTCGGAAGGGTCCGTCCCAATTGGGGCAAGCTTTCCTTGTCTCGGATCTTTTCTTGCTTCACCTGTGGCCCTCCAAACGAGATCTCCTTCTCGGAATTCTCTAGGTTTCACCTTGCTGTCGAATCTTCTCTTGTAGCCCTGCTTGGTAGCCTCGGCCACGACTCGTGCCCGGTCTCGAATATTTTCCATGGTGTCCAGGCTTACCCGGAGCTGGGCTTCATTATTTGACTCGTCGAAGTGGGCTCGGCGGAATGAAGGTTCCTCGATTTCCACTGGGATCATCGCGTCGGACCCGTAGACTAGTCGAAAGGGGGTCTCTTGTGTGATCGACTGAGGTGTGCATCAGTAGGCCCAAAGCACCTCGGGCAACTGCTCGGCCCATGCTCCCTTTGCTTCTCCTAGCCTCTTCTTCAACTCTGCCAGAATGACCTTGTTGGCGGACTCGGCCTGGCCGTTCGTTTGTGGGTGCTCGACCGATGTGACCTTGTGTTGTATTCCTAGGCCGGCTAGGAACTCGTTGAGTTTTCGGTCGGTGAATTGGAGGCCATTATCGGTGACCAGGGTATGCAGGATGCCGAACCGGGTGATGATATTCCTCCATATGAATTTTTGGACTTGATGAGTTGAAATGGATGCCAAGGGCTCGGCTTCAATCCATTTAGTGAAAAGGTCCACGACAACGATGAGGAACTTGCATTGCCCCTTGGCAACTGGGAAAGGTCCGAGTATGTCGGCCCCCCATGTGGCGAACGGCCATGCTAGGGGAATGCAGTGTAGCTGCTCGGCTGGCTGGTGAATTAAGTTGTTGTGCTTCTGGCATGGTTGGCATTTCTTCACAAAGGCTCCGCAGTCAGTGTTCATGGTCGGCCAGTAGTACCTGGCGCGCAAAAGTTTGGAAACGGTCGTCCTTGCTCCTGAATGCATTTCGTAAGTGCCTTCGTGTACTTCTCTCATTACGTAATCGGCCTCGGCAGGATTTAGGCACTTGAGTAGCGGGGTCGAGAAGCCACGTTTGTACAATTGACCGGTGATGATGACATATCTGCTAGCTTGAGTTCTCAACCGTTTAGCCTCAGTCAGGCCGTCCGGTGTGACTCCGTTGGTCAGGAATGCTTTGATCTCGGCTCGCCAGTCTGAGGGATCGTTGGGATCGGCGTGGTCGGCCTCGACACTTCCTACCATTTCTGACTCGACGCTAGGTTGGTCGATCTCTTGCTGAATAATGGTTCTTAACTGGCCTGGTTTCTTTGTCGCGGCCAACCTAGCCAACTGATCGGCTCGGGTATTGTCCTCGCGAGGGATGTGCTCGACCAACACCTCTTGAAAGCTCGTCTTCAACTTTTGATAGGCGTGGTAGTACTTCATCATGATGTGATCTTTTACTTGGAAGTTACCACCCACTTGCTCGGCCACCACCTTGGAATCAGTTCGGCACTTGATCTTTGATGCACCCATGTCCTCGGCCAGCCTTAGTCCGGCTAGCAAAGCTTCATATTCAGCTTGATTGTTCGAAGCTTTGAACCGGAAGCGCAAGGATTGTTCTAAGGTTATCCCCTTCGGTCCTTCTAAGATTACTCCTGCCCCGCTCCCCTGGCGGTTTGAGGAACCGTCTACATGGAGGGTCCACCATTGCTCCTCAAAGTGGTCGTGCGGGTGTAGATCGTTTATGAAGTCCGCCAGGCACTGGGCTTTGATCGACCCTCTCGATTCAAAGGTGATGTCGAATTGTGAGAGCTCGACTGACCAGGTCATCATTCTCCCGGCGAGTTCGGGCTTGCCTAAGACTTTGGAGATCAGGCAGTCGGTGTGTACAACTACTCGGTGGCTTTGGAAGTAGTGTCGTAGGTGTCGGGAAGTGTGGACTAGTCCGAGTGAAACTTTTTCTATCAGCTGGTACCGGGTCTCGGAATCCTGCAGGAGTCTGTTGACAAAGTATAGGGGAGCTTGGGTGTCTTCCTTTTCTTGCACCAAGGCCGAACTGATCGCCTCGTCGGACACAGCCAAGTATACCAGGAGCGGGCTCGAAGGATCAGGTCTCGTTAGGATCGGCGGCGTCGCCAGGGTTGCTTTCAACACCGCGAAGGCTTCTTCGCATGGTTCATCCCACGAGAAGGCTGAAGCCTTCCGCAAGAGTTTCGTTATTGGGCTGATTTTGTTGCCCAGACGTGGGAGGAATCGGGATAAGGTGACCAATCTCCCTGAAAGACGTTGCAATTCCTTGAGGTTGCTTGGGCTTCGCATGTCTAGTACGACCTGGCATTTGTCTCGGTTCGCTTCTATGCCCCTCGCTGATAGCATAAAACCTAGATATTTTCATCCCTTAACCCCGAAGGTACATTTCTCGGGGTTGAGTCTCATGTTGTGCTTGCGAAGTTCACCGAAGATTTCGGCTAGGTCTGTTATGTGCTCGACCAAGGAGTTGGACTTGACCACCATATCATCCACACAGATCTCGATGTTTCGGCCGATTTGATCCTGGAACACTTTGTCCATTAACCTCTGATAGGTCGCCCTTGCGTTCTTCAGTCCAAATGGCGTGACCTTGTAACAATAGTTGGTGTTCTCGGTGATAAACGCCGTCTTCTCCTCGTCGGCCGGGTGCATTTTAATCTGGTTGTAGCCGGAATATGCATCGAGGAAGCTAAATACGGAGTTTCCGGATGCCCCGTCGACGAGTCGGTCTTTGTAGGGGAGGGGATAAGCGTCTTTGGGGCAGGCTTTGTTGAGGTTGGTGTAGTCGGTGCACATTCGCCACTTCCCATTCGCTTTTTTAACTAACACCACATTGGCCAGCCAGGTGGTGTAGGTGACCTCTCTGATAAATTTTGCTTGCAACAGTTTCTGCACTTCGACATTCGCGGCCTTTCTCTTCTCGTCTCCCATTTTCCTCTTCTTTTGGGCAACTGGTCGGGCATCTCGGCATACGGTCAGTCGATGACACAAGAACTTGGGATCTATCCCTGGCATGTCCGACGCCGTCCATGCAAATAGGTCGCTATTGTCTCGGACCGCTCGTTTCACCCGGTTCGAATCGACCTCACTTAGTTGGGATCCCAAGTGCATGACTTGTTCGGGTACTCGGCCAAGCATAAAAGAGACAAGGTCTTCGGCGGGCTCGATTCATTCCTTTTCTCCTAAACGGGGGTCGAGGTCGATGCCCTCGGTCACCTCTTGTCTGACTGCGTTCACACCTCTTGTCGTCTTCTGGGGGTCAGCAATGGGTTGTACCTTCAGGCTAGATAGGTAGCATTCTCTCGCTATTTTCTGGTCGGCATGCACAGTTATCACCTGTCCATCTCTCGACGGGAATTTCATGCACAGGTGAGGGGTCGAAACAATGGCCCCCAATGCGTTGATTGAAGGTCGACCTAGAAGGATGTTGTACGACGTGTTTGCGTGTACCACAATATAACGAATTTTGATCTCTCGGGAAGATTGTTGATCGAAGCCAAACCGGGTGTATAGGTCAATGCATCCTCTCGTCATCACTCTTTCGCTTGAGAAGCCTACCAGTGGTTCGTGGTATGGTTCTAGGCTCTCCTCCAGGATCCCCAGCTGCACAAAAGTATTCCAGTACAAGATGTCGGCTGAGCTTCCCTGGTCAACCAAGGTTTTCTTCACAATGCAATTTTGCATCTCGACCAAAATCACCATGGGGTCGTCCTGAACAGGATCTACTCCTCGGAAGTCTCGGTCAGAAAAGGTTATCGCTGGCATCTTCGGTGTCCTTGGCTGATTCACACTATTTACCGATCGTTCTGCTCGGAGGTGTCTCTTCCGTGCAGAAGATATGGAACCTCCCCCAGCGAAGCCCTGACTATTGTGTTTATTATCTTCCTCGGTCGGTCATTATCTTATTGAGAATGTCGCGAATGATCCTGCCTCTTGGCTGAACGGGATCGACGACGTTGGTCTCTCGGTTGATGGGCTTCGCGAGAGTGGTCTCTTCTCCTCGACTGGTGGTCTTGGGGGGTGACAAAGTTCCTGAGGTGACCCTGCTTGATAAGGTCCTCGAGTTTGTCTCTAAGTGCAGAACATTCTTCGGTCGAGTGTCCCCTGTTTCTGTGGAATCGGCACGTCTTGGCTTTGTCGGCTCTAGGGGGAGTGTTCGCCCTCTTCGGCATTGCGAGGATCTTCGAAGCGAGAGCTTGTTCCATTACATTCGCCCTGCTCGCGTTGAGAGGAGTGTACGCCGTGTAACGAGGGCCTCGTGGAGGACGGACATTAGAGGGTTCAACATTGTTCTTTTTTGTAGGTTCTCGGCCGGCTTCTTTTTGGGTGTAACCCTCTTCGGCCCTGGCTTGATTTCTAGTCTCCGCCAGCTCTTCCATTTGCATATACTTTTCAGCTCGGCGTCGGAGATCATTCATATCAATGGGTGGCTTCTTGCACAAGCTATTTACAATGGCCCCCGCCTGAGAGCAGTGATCAGTCGGTCCAACGCTACGGCGGGGTTAAGATCGACGATCTCCATGGCAATCTTGTTGAATCGGTCCATGAAGCTTCTCAGGCTTTCCTTCTTTTCTTGACGGACCCTGCTAAGGCTAACGAGGTCGTCCTGTACGGCTTGCTCGTCGCGAATTGAAGAGTGAATTGAGATGAAAACTCGTTGAACGAGTCGATTGAAGAGCTCGGCAATTTCGTGAACCAACTCAGGGCCCTTCCTTTCAGGGACGTGGGAAATATTCGGCATAAAGCCGAGTCGTCTTGGGTGGAGAGGGTCGCCTATGTTAGGAAGACGTTCAGGTGTTCATCGGGGTCGATCGATCCGTCATACTTCTCGATTGGAAGACTCTTCCAATGATCCAGCAAGGTTGCTTCCATTATCATTCGTGAGAAAGGGTGTCTTAGGGAGTGAACACTGGTGTCAGCTTTGTTTCCTATCAAAGAGGTAACTGGTGTTCGGGTCACATGGTCAGTTGGGGCATGGTATGCCGACTCCTCTTGGAGAGTGGGAGTTGACGGCATGTAAGTTTGGTTCAGGCTCCGGAGCTCAGCGTTTTGCCGACGCAGCTCGGCCAGTTCTCGAGCATCGGCTTCTCTTTGTCTTCGGATGGCTGCCATTTCCTCGCGCCATGCGCGCAAGTCATCACGGAGGTCGGGCTGGGCTCCGTCGACGTTCGGCCGGACCTCTTGTATCACAGGCTCCGGTTGTGTTTGAGGCATTCAATATGGGTAACACTCTTGGTTGTTCATGGCGGGATTGTTTTCGGGGTTAGGGATCGGTTGGGTTGTTGTTGATTGTCCTTTGCGTGTTACTACCATGTCTCGGTCTCAGTTATAGATTTCTAAGGGGTTGAAAATGTCTTCTCGGCCCCACGGTGGGTGCCAAATGTTCCTGTGTTAGGATACACACTTCAATTATCCTTGTTGCAGCGGGTCTGATCCTAGGTCTCGGTCTTCTTGTTCCTCTCCGAGCAGTCCGAAGTGAGGGGAGGTGCCTGCAAAGCCACTCCAACGCTCAAGTAAGTGCTCGGCGTAATAAATGCGGTAGTTGAAAAGTTTGTTACATACCTCGTTGGGGTCCTATTTATAGTGGTTCTTATTGCCTCGTGATTAGGGATTGGGCCCCGGAAAATTAGGGAGCTAATCCGATGCATTATGTTAATTAAGCTCTCCGTAATCATCCTGGCTAAGGCGCTGAACTCGGCCGACCACACCGACATGTTTTATTCACTTTCAGAGTGGTCGGCGGGCTCGGTTATTTTGGTTTAGACGTTCACGGGTTTGGACATTGGCCTAGTCATCCACCATACGGTATACCTTTCAATAATTCACAACATTAAATCACTGTAACACAATAATTAATAAAATAAACAATAACTAATAAGAACGTATAATATTATAATAAGTTTCACATTAAAAGAAAAAAGTCCTAAAATAAGTACTACCATCGTATTAGTTTTCTAATGTAGTATTAATTATCTCTTTTTATTTATATTTTTAATAATATAATGTAAAAAATAATTTTTGTGTGTTATATTACTTATAACAAAGATGATTAATCATAAAATTAATTTTATAAAATTATTATTTTATTTTATTTTTTTATTTCCTAAAATGATAATTATTATTATGAGATCGAAATAGTTTTTATTTTTACTTATTCGTCATGTTTTTTATCCTGCAAATGTGGTTAAATCTTACGTACCATTTATTTCCGGGGTAGTTACTTTCATTATGCCACATACTCCATAATTTTGCTTATAAGTAGGGGCGGGCAAAAAAAACTACCAACGATTGACCAATTGGCTAAAGTTTCATACAAAAGCCTTCACAACGGAACTGATGGGTTCTCAACTACAAACTTGATAGGGTCTGGAAATTTTAGCTCTGTCTACAAAGGAATTCTTGATTTAGAAGACAAAGTTGTTGCCATAAAGGTTCTAAACCTTGCAAGAAAAGGAGCTCACAAGAGTTTCATTGCCGAATGCAATGCACTTAAAAATATTAGACATCGAAATCTAGTACAAATTTTAACATGTTGTTCCGGCACAGATTATAAAGGTCAAGAATTCAAAGCTCTAATTTTTGAGTACCTGAAAAATGGAAGCTTAGAACAATGGCTACATCCTGAGACACTAACTGCAAGGCATATGAGAACATTGAACCTTGATCAAAGATTAAATATCATGATTGATGTTGCTTCTGCATTACATTATCTTCATAATGAATGTGAGCAATCGATCATTCATTGTGATTTAAAACCGAGCAATGTTCTTCTTGATGATGACATGGTTGCTCATGTGAGTGATTTTGGCATAGCAAGACTTCTCTCAACCATTAAAACTACTCCTTCTAAGCAAGCAAGTACAATCGGAATAAAGGGGACAATTGGCTATTCTCCTCCAGGTATGTTATAAACTCTCTAATCGATGTTCTTGCAATTACCCTCTCTTTTGATGAAAACTTAACAAAATATTAACAATTTTGCTATATATTTTAGAGTACGGATTGGGTTCTGAGGTGTCCACGAATGGTGACATGTATAGCTTTGGGATTCTTGTGTTGGAAATACTTACCGGAAGACGACCCACAGATGAAATCTTTGAAGATGGTCAAAATTTGCATAACTTTGTGAAAAATTCATTTCCTGATAATCTATTGCAGATTTTGGACCCATCACTTGTACTAAAACATGAAGAAGCAACAGTAGAAGAAAACAATCAGAATCTTACCCCAACAGTTGAAAAAGGCTTAGTTTCGCTCTTTAAGATTGGACTTGCTTGTTCTGTAGAATCACCAAAAGAAAGAATGAGTATGGTGGATGTCACTAGAGAGCTAAGCAAAATAAGAAAACACTTTCTTGCTGGTAATATAACTGAAAGTGAAAAATGACTTAGTTCTTTGCAAATTACTATAGAACAAATGTAGATGTATCATACTACTGGCAAATTTTAATAACAATTCTGTTTTTAATGATACTCGTGTATTTTGTTTTTATTTTTTTATTTTTTGAATTATTTCACGTATTAGTTTTCCTTTTCAAGCTTAACAAAATAATAAAATTGGGATTTCTAAATGCTTAATTGCATATCCTGCTGTGTTGTGCTCTTACCTGATTAATTACTTATGTAGTTACAATTTCATTTTTTGCCACTTTATATGTTTTACAAAATTCTGAAACTACAAAGATAACTGTCTTCTTCTCAAATTCAGGGGTTCACACTTGAATAATCAAAGCTGAGATCAAACGTTACGACTATTTCAGAACCAGAGAAGCACACCAACTGCACAAAGTTTATTTCAATTGGTATTCGCCCAGGAGGTGGATTTATATCTGTAACACAAATGTATAATGATATTTAAAACCATTTGATTGATCTTCCTCTTGATAAGGCCTTCTATCTTATGTTTGTTTTCAGAAGTGATGTAGCACGAGACTGCTAATTTCTATTTTGTTATGAGATAATTTGTCACAGATCATTTGTTTCCTAATTTCCTAAAATTATTCTGTTTCTATTCTGTTTTCTAATTAGTTTTCAAGTTCCCCTTTTTAAAGTTATTTTTCTAGTTTCTTTAATATGGTGTGTTGGATTTTATCTTAAAACTAATTGTCTTTATGTGAAGTTGTCCAACAAATATACAAGCTACACTCCAAGAATTGAGGCAAGCAATGTGAGACATCCCAATAATCTAAGGTGTAATTGTTTCTTAGTAATCTGAAAAATATTTTCTATTTTATTGTCAAATCTCTCCATAGTTTGAGTATTACTGTCTTGTTCTTAGATAATCTTCCACTGCACCAAGAAGCGTTGGTTCTCTTGTGACCAACTAATCTATGTGGTTAAATTTTGTCCTTTACAAAACAAAAGAAGTCTTGGAGTGTGGTTGGGATGTTGGTATGTAAATTACATTTGGTATTCAGAAAAAGTCCATGTTAATTCTAGAGTATTATTATTGGTTGGCGTATTGGTATGCTTTACCACACAACCATTACTGACAAACTAAGTATCAAGATAAACAATATATAAAAGTGACAATGACAATGCTGATACAGAACCCTATTATAGAAGTTGTAAACTGCATCCATGACTTTAACATTATGCCTTACATAATATACATTATCGTTCTTGGATTGATAGTTTATATTTAAGTAAATGCGCATTTAATCTTCTTTGTTTGGTGATAAATGCTTCAACCCACTATTCTCTGACATATATAACTGAGTCCCCGGTGTAGCAATAAACAAAGTCTACTAGTACATTAATTCCAATAGGAAAAAGAAAAAACTTCACCTTCCCACAGTTAAAAAATATTTGTAGAAGGGAAGCTGCCACAATGATCGGCAACATACCAATCAAAATTACCTCACTTCGAAGGCTTCAAGGTATGTTTCTTTTTAAGAACCGATTAACAGGAGGGATCCCATCATTCATAGGGAATCTTTCATCCCTAACTGCTCTCTCGGTTGATAGTAACAACTTTGAAGGAGATATTCCGCAAGAAATATGTAATCTCAAAAGGTTGACATTTCTAGCACTAGGTGTCAACAAATTGCGTGGAACACTTCCTTCTTGTTTTTATAATATGTCATCTTTGACTCAATTCTCAGCTCCAGAAAATCAATTAAAGGGCTCTCTTCCACCCAACACTTTTCACATCCTCTCCAATCTCCAACTATTTGAAATTGGTGGCAATCAAATCTCAGGTCCAATCCCATCTTCCATCACAAATGCATCCAACATTTCAACACTTGATATTGGTGCAAACCATTTCACGGGACAAGTTCCAAGCATGGCTATGCTACTAGATCTTCAATATCTAGCTTTGGCTATGAATAATCTAGGTGACAATTCAACCAATGATTTGATGTTTTTAAATTCATTGGCAAATTGTAGTAAGTTGCAACATTTAGATATAGAGAAAAATAATTTTGGAGGTCAATTACCAAAGTCTTTAGGAAATTTATCCACCCAACTTGGTATACTAGCTCTTGGGGGAAATCAAATATTTGGAAACATCCCAGCCGAATTAGGAAATCTAATTAACTTAATTGGCTTAGGCATGGAAAATAACCATTTTGAAGGAATCATCCCATCAACTTTTAGGAAGTTTCAGAAGATGCAAGTGCTAGACTTGAGTGGAAACAAACTTTCGGGAGATATACCAGACTTCATAGGCAACCTTAGTCAATTGTTTTATTTGGATATGGGAAAAAATATGTTAGAAGGTAATATTCCTCCAAATATAGAAAACTGCCAAAAGTTAGATTACTTAAAACTTTCACAAAACAACCTTACTGGAACCATATCCTTAGAGGTTTTCAAGTTGTCCTCTCTAACAAACTTGTTGGATTTGTCACAAAACTCATTGAGTGGTAGTATCCCAGAGGAAGTGGGTAGTCTAATACATATCAATTTGCTAGATGTCTCTGAGAATTATCTGTCTGGTGAGATTCCTGAAACTATTGGAGAATGCATAATGTTGGAGTACCTCTATTTGCAAGGGAATTCTTTACATGGAATCATACCATCCTCTTTGGGATCACTTAAAGGTCTTCAAGGTTTAGACCTCTCACGAAACCTCTTGTCTGGATCAGTTCCTAGTGTTCTGCAGCACATTCCTTTCTTACAATATTTCAATGTATCTTTCAACATGTTGGATGGCGAGGTACCAACTGAAGGTGTCTTTAAAAATGCAAGTGGATTAGTGGTAACTGGAAATACTAAACTTTGTGGCGGTATTTTTGAACTACATCTACCACCATGTCCCATCAAAGAGAAGAAACTTGCAAAACACCACAAGTTCAGGTTGATAGCTGGAATAACTAGTGTGCTTGTTTTTCTTTTCATACTGACAATTATTCTAATTATCTACTGGATGAGAAAAAGGAGCAAGAGACCATCTTTGACTTCACCAACGATTGACCAATTGGCTAAAGTTTCATACAAAAGCCTTCACAACGGAACTGATGGGTTCTCAACTACAAACTTGATAGGGTCTGGAAATTTTAGCTCTGTCTACAAAGGAATTCTTGATTTAGAAGACAAAGTTGTTGCCATAAAGGTTCTAAACCTTGCAAGATTTTGCCCACCCCTACTTATAAGAGATCAAAACACATAGAGTAATTGCTGGTGTGATTGGCGAGAATAGTGCGATTCTGATACACAATTTATAAATCTAGATTCTAGACTATCATGTGTAGGTAATTTCACTCATGCAAGTTTTATTTAAAAGATATCAATATTTTTTATTGATTAAAGTTATTCAAATGATGTGATGTGTTATTTTTATCAGATTTATTATTTTATAAAAAAGTTTTAGATTTTCCATATTAGTTCATCATTATTCATTACATTTTGGAGAATAAGTTTCACATGATTTATATGTTCGAAGTATCTTACCTTTAAAATATCTTTTTCTTATTTTCTCTCGGAGCACTCTCACTCTCCTTCTCCACCACACACTTACTCTGCTCCTCTCACTCTCCTTGTTTGTCGCACTCTTATACTGCTCCAAAACCTAGTTTGTGTCAATTTCGCCATCTACAACAAAAGAAATTTCACTTAGGATTTTGTATCATCTCTGATCGTTCATTTATTTATCTTATTCCCTCTTATTTGTTGTTTTCATCAGAATTATTTTCCATAGTTTTGCTTAGTTTAAATTATATCTGCCTTGACCACGAAGGATTGATTTCCCCTTTTGAAACAAACGTTTTACACATTCATCCCTCGAATTAAGTGACCTTTTCTCAAAGAAAAGAACAATCATCAATCGAGGACTAACATGAAAATTAAACTAATGATTTTGCCTTTTATGTTAAAAACAACTCAGCAAATAATAAATATTAGTACTGAAAATTTCGGCCACTTGTAATAATAGGAAAGTCTTGTACATGGTAAATAGTACACAAATTTCCAAACCTGTGTAACTACTACTACTAATAATAATAATAATACACCGACTCTCATGACAACCTCTTGCTGCAACCAAACATATCCATTGCAAATTTCCACGTCAGATTATCCTCTTCATTATTCTTTTTTATTTTCCTTTTTGGTATTATGTCATATCCCAAACATCACAATCACTTCCTCTTTCAGGCTTGGCCAACGACAAATCCTTCCCACTTCCTCTTTTACAATTTTCTTACAACTTTTCTGTGTTTTAAATAATCAAACAAAAAGGTCATAAAATAAGTGACTAATTTTGTTTGCCAATCAAATGAAAAGGAATCTATAGATTCCCATTTCCCAAACACAAGCTTTTAATTAAAAACAAAAACCAAGGTTTAAACTTTAAATTAAAACTTAATAATATGGTAGTATTAATAAAGCTTTCAAGTTCACACTTGTTTCATGCACAATGTTCGATTCTCCGACAGATCCTCCATGCACACATCGCCGCCGCAAACCACCATTCTCCTGCCGTGGCTAACGGCGGCGTTGGTCACACTCCGCCACTCGGACCGGACCCCATCGATAAACTCACACACCACGAACTCCTCCGCTAAGGAAGTGTTCCTCACGTACACAAAATCCCCAATCCACGTCACCTCCACCGAACCTAACTCCGAACCTCCCATTAACCTCCGAACCATCTCCTTCGGCATCTCAGCCACTTCCTCCATCCCCGAACCTAATCCCCCCCGAACCTCCCACAGCTTC